AAAATGAATAATTTAGTACTTTCTTTAAAAATCACAATTATAAATTGATGTAATAATTTCTGAATTTACAGTATCTCAATGATTTAAATTCATAATCAAAGTTTGTATAGTTTGACATGTGAATGTTATGTTAAAAAAAAGTGGGAAAGCAGAATATGTTTTATATTCAATTTATTATATTTCAGTGTGAGGACCTACGTGGACAACCAGATGAACAGGCGTCTCCGACGAGTTGGTATGCCATACGGCTATGTGGCTCCACGAGTAGAGGCACCACGATGCTCTCGTCGTCTTTTAGGGTTGGAGCCTGAACCAGTACTTGTCCCAGTTGCCTCTCCTGAGCTGCCAAGAAATGATCAACCTGAACTTTTCGAAGCAGTCGTACCTCGTGCACGATTATTCTCCGTCATGGTTCCTGAAACAGCTATTCAAATTGCTGCTGACGTTATCATTGACGAGGATGATATGGTCGAGGTGGAGTTAGCTGGCGAGGAGCTCTCGGTTCTGGAGTCAACTCTGGAGGAGGAAGAGGTCATGGAGCTGTCTGTGGAGGCCTCTGTGCTGTGTGGTATGGACACAACGGTGGAGGACCCAGCCGACTGGTTCCTAGAGGAGACTGTGTCTTTCCTGCCAACAGAGGAGGAGACTGTTGTGTTCGAGGAGGTAGTGGATGAGGATGCAACAACCAACCACGCTGAAGAGACTGTCTGGTATGGTCCTGAAGAGGTTGAGGTTCCAGCCACTCCAGTCACACCGTATGTTGTTATAGGTAATGATGTAGGTGTTCCTTTGGACTGGGAGGTGATCCCTGCTCCAGTGGTTGAGGTTGCTCCTGTCCCTGAGGCAGCTGGGAGGTTTGCTGGGTGGAGACAGGTGGCTAGAGTGCTAGGCTGCCTTGTTACTTCATACCAAACTGTCTCAGCTGTCTAATTTTTTGGTTAATTTTTGATAAATACATATACATTTTGTATATTTTCTTTAAAAAAAAAAATTGGAAAAGTATAAACTTTTGCTTTAGTTTAAAAAAAAAGTTTGGAAAAGTATAAATTTTTGTTTTAGTTTAAAAAAAATGTTTGGAAAAGCTAATTTTTGAAACTTGAAATTTTTGTTTTGATTTATGGTCATTCAGTTTATTTTTGAAAGATTTTCATTCTTTGCTAAGTAACACAATTTCTTCAAGACTTCAAAATGAGTGTTTTAATAATTTTGGCTATTCAATCATTAAAGTTTTATGAAAATATTTTGTTTTAATTTAAATGAAAGTTTTTAATGTTTAATTTACTTAACTTGGAAATTTATAAAGAGTGTGTCTGTCTTTTTGTAACCACTGTTCTTTTTATCCAACACATGTTAAACTTTCAGGCTGGACAACTGTCAAAATGGATCACCATAATTATCAGTCAGGTCAAGGTCAATCAGTATAGATATCCAATCATTTCAGCTCAACATTTTCTTTTAAAGTTTGGTCATAGGTTAGAGGTTAAAAGTTCAGGTCAACATTGACAAGAATAGAATGTTCATTACTCCTTTAAAGGGTAGAGGTCTACTAGATTTAAGATCAAACTATTTGTAAGAATGGTTATTTGTAAGGTCAAAGACATGCAGTGTCAGGTCAAGGTCAATGTTTACTTCTACAGAATGATTATATCTGTTAGCAGGATCACAGATATGATTAATTGCTTAAAAGCAACAAACACATGTAAGAAGCATATTCCTGCTAAACAGCTTTAAATATATGTGTACCTATTTTCACAAAAATAGCTCCCTTCCCCAAGGGTTGACTGGGGTATAAAAATATGGTCATCCCTTGGTCTTCTTCTGACCGGCAGTAAAACGCTTGCCAAAGATTAGCCACCGTTTAGTTAATACATAGCCACATCCTGTTAAAATTTAAAATTTAAAAGTTGCATGATTAATACCAGAGTAACTTTTAACCTGAAGTGTGACAGACGAACGAACAGACAAACAAAAGAATGGACCGACAAACAGACGACCGGGTAAGACCAGAAAACATAATGTCCATGTATGGGGCATAAAAATCCAGCATAACAGTGCAACATTCCATTTAGCTTTTGAAATTTTGATGAAAAATACAAAATATTTCCTTTGACTCATTTAAAACATTAAAATGTCACCACCCTTTAGAAAGAAAATGAACATTAAAGTCGTCCCCTACATAAATTTCATAGTTTAAATAAAGGAATTTTTTTCAGCAATTTTCACTTCTGGATGACAGGATAAAATTACCACTTCTGTTTTATAATTCGTTGAGAGCATTTATAAAAAGTAGCAGATCAGAAGTAAAACAAAAAAAGAAAATATCACTAATTTCCTATTAAACTTCCCAAAAATTTCGCATTTGTTCATTTTAACCTTGACCACTCTTTTAAAATTAAAAAAAATATTAAAAAAGGTTTCTGTATCTTAATTTGGCAGCTTCTGATAAATTAAAGAAAATATTTGGTATACATCAATGAGGGATACTTAACAAACAACAAAAACAAGGCGTCTTTAGGTCAACATAAGTCTTCAACAAAGATAGGCATCTATACAATATGTTTAGTGTTTATAGTTCAAAATTAGTCGACAAAATTTACTAAATATCTTTAAAGAAAAAAGTCCACAAAATTTACTAAATATCTATAAAGAAAAAAGTCCACAAAATTTACTAAATATCTATAAAGAAAAAAGTCCACAAAATTTACTAAATATCTTTAAAGAAAAAGGTCCACAAAATTTACTAAATATCTATAAAGAAAAAAGTCGACTAAATTTTACTAAATATATATAAAGAAAAAAGTCGACAAAATTTACTAAATATCTATAAAGAAAAAAGTCGACTAAATTTACTAAATATCTATAAAGAAAAAAGTTGACAAAATTTACTAAATATCTATAAAGAAAAAAGTCGACAAAATTTACTAAATATCTTTAAAGAAAAAATTTACTAAATATCTATAAAGAAAAAAGTCGACAAAATTTACTAAATATCTATAAAGAAAAAAGTCCACAAAATTTACTAAATATCTTTAAAGAAAAAAGTCCACAAAATTTACTAAATATCTATAAAGAAAAAGTCCACAAAATTTACTAAATATCTATAAAGAAAAAAGTCAACTAAATTTACTAAATATCTATAAAGAAAAAAGTCGACTAAATTAACTAAATATCACTAATTTCCTATTAAACTTCCCAAAAATTTCGCATTTGTTCATTTTAACCTTGACCACTCTTTTAAAATTAAAAAAAATATTAAAAAAGGTTTCTGTATCTTAATTTGGCAGCTTCTGATAAATTAAAGAAAATATTTGGTATACATCAATGAGGGATACTTAACAAACAACAAAAACAAGGCGTCTTTAGGTCAACATAAGTCTTCAACAAAGATAGGCATCTATACAATATGTTTAGTGTTTATAGTTCAAAATTAGTCGACAAAATTTACTAAATATCTTTAAAGAAAAAAGTCCACAAAATTTACTAAATATCTATAAAGAAAAAAGTCCACAAAATTTACTAAATATCTATAAAGAAAAAAGTCCACAAAATTTACTAAATATCTTTAAAGAAAAAGGTCCACAAAATTTACTAAATATCTATAAAGAAAAAAGTCGACTAAATTTTACTAAATATATATAAAGAAAAAAGTCGACAAAATTTACTAAATATCTATAAAGAAAAAAGTCGACTAAATTTACTAAATATCTATAAAGAAAAAAGTTGACAAAATTTACTAAATATCTATAAAGAAAAAAGTCGACAAAATTTACTAAATATCTTTAAAGAAAAAATTTACTAAATATCTATAAAGAAAAAAGTCGACAAAATTTACTAAATATCTATAAAGAAAAAAGTCCACAAAATTTACTAAATATCTTTAAAGAAAAAAGTCCACAAAATTTACTAAATATCTATAAAGAAAAAGTCCACAAAATTTACTAAATATCTATAAAGAAAAAAGTCAACTAAATTTACTAAATATCTATAAAGAAAAAAGTCGACTAAATTAACTAAATATCTATAAAGAAAAGAGTAGACAAAATTAACTAAATATCTATAAAAAATAATAATAAAGCAAAATAATTAAAAATTCTTTTTTCTTGCAATTAAATAAGTTTAAAGTTTTTAATTCAGCAAAAGATTTGGGCTTTCAACAACTTGATGTGAATGATATTGCATTATTATAGTGTCTGAGTACAACATTATTACATAACTTGCTGGGTTAAAATTTCTTTTTTTACAAAAAGTATATCCAAAGTTAACACTGGCAAGTCAAGTATAACAATGTATCTAACACTGCACAATCTGCATAAACCTGCATACCTGCATAGGATAATTAGCATTGCATATATAAATTAACATGTAAAGCTTATGCTGGCTTGCTGATGTTTTCTTTCATTCTATTTAATTAACCCCTAGCCCAATATAGCAACATCTATTTAAAATTGACCTGGGACTTGGATTTTGGGCAGGTAGGGAGGAATAAGGGAAATACCTTGGCCTGGGATTTTAGGGCTTAAAGAAAGGGGAGGGGAAACCCAGGGACTCTTGTGAAGTGGGGAGATTAAAGGAGAGGGGAAACCCAGTGCCTGGTGTATTTGGGGAGATAAAAGAGGGAGAAGGTTACATCCACGGCCTGGTGAACTGAGGGAGATAAAAAAGGGAATGGGGAAAGAGTTGCTGTCCATTGAATGAAGTAAGTTATGTGTTAATGTTGTATTCACATTGTTGTGATGATTTTATTGTTGCTTTGAAGTTTGTAGAGCACAAATACCCCAGTACTTTTGGATAAAAATGATAATGAAAAAATATTTCCGTTTAAACTTTCAGTTTTTAATAAAGATATTCCAGTGTTCAAATTAACCATTAAAGTGGTCTTTCTTAAAGTTGTCAAACAAGAACCAAAGTGTACCTTTTAAACTTTAAAATATCAATTGAACATTTAATTAGAAACCTTTGGTTTAAACATTTATGCATGTTTCTGAATTCCTTTCATTGAGTAAATAAAATCTCACTCTATTTAAACAATTTTGTGTTGTAAAAAAACCACAAAAACATACAATTAAGTACTTGACCTATAGTATAGAAACTTGTTTTTGTTGGAGACTATATTGACCTCTGGGGTCCAGGTTTTTTGTCTTGTTTAGTTGCTGTCTTAATAACATAATCCCTGAAGTCATTTTCAATTAATCATAGACAAAGGACAAATTATAAAAAACCCAGAATAACCAAATCCTTCATATTAACTTATAATAACTGTTAAATTTTCCTTCAAATTAAATATATGTTTCACTCATCTCCTTCGTTTAGATAAATTTTAAAGTGAAACAGAGAATGGAAGCCAAATATTTAAAATTTAGATTAATTGAAATAGCCTCCCCTCTTAAAAAAAAATATAGAACAAATTTTAACAGAAAAAAGGGGGACGGAAACCTAAAGATACAGAATTAAAATAAAGTGATAAAAAGATCCTCCGTCCTTTTCTAAACTTCTTTTTAAAGTTTTAAATTTGATAAGTTAGATGTTCCCTGAATTTAGAGTATCCATGGGAACATGTCGCATTTTTACCAGAAATTAATATACCCATAGGAACATTACGGTACATGTTCCTCTCCAAAGTAATAAAGGTATCCATTGGAACATCACATGTTCCTCTCCAAAGTAATAAAGGTATCCATTGGAACATCACATGTTCCTCTCCAAAGTAATAAAGGTATCCATAGGAACATCACATGTTCCTCTCAAAAGTAATGAAGGTATCCATAGGAACATCACATGTTCCTCTCCAAAGTAATGAAGGTATCCATTGGAACATCACATGTTCCGCTCCAAAGTAATGAAGGTATCCATTGGAACATCACATGTTCCTCTCCAAAGTAATGAAGGTATCCATAGGAACATAACATGTTCCGCTCCAAAGTAATGTTCCGCTCCAAAGTAATAAAGGTATCCATAGGAACATCACACGTTCCGCTCAAAAGTAATGAAGGTATCCATAGGAACATCACATGTTCCGCTCCAAAGTAATGAAGGTATCCATTGGAACATCACATGTTCCTCTCCAAAGTAATGAAGGTATCCATAGGAACATCACATGTTCCGCTCCAAAGTAATGAAGGTATCAATTGGAACATCACATGATTCGCTCCAAAGTAATGAAGGTATCCATAGGAACATCACATGTTCCTCTCCAAAGTAATAAGGGTATCCATTGGAACATCACATGTTCCTCTCCAAAGTAATAAAGGTATCCATAGGAACATCACATGTTCCTCTCCAAAGTAATGAAGGTATCCATAGGAACATCACATGTTCCTCTCCAAAGTAATCAAGGTATCCATAGGAACATCACATGTTCCTCTCCAAAGTAATCAAGGTATCCATAGAAACATCACATGTTCCTCTCCAAAGTAATAAAGGTATCCATAGAAACAATACATGTTCCTCTCCAAAGTAATGAAGGTATCCATAGGAACATCACATATTCCTCTCCAAAGTAATGAAGGTATCCATAGGAACATCAGATGTTCCTCTCCAAAGTAATCAAGGTATCCATAGGAACATCACATGTTCCTCTCCAAAGTAATCAAGGTATCCATAGAAACATCACATGTTCCTCTCCAAAGTAATAAAGGTATCCATAGGAACATCACATGTTCCTCTCCAAAGTAATAAAGGTATCCATAGGAACATCACATGTTCCTCTCCAAAGTAATAAAGGTATCCATAGGAACATCACATGTTCCTCTCCAAAGTAATGAAGGTATCCATAGGAACAATACATGTTCCTCTCCAAAGTAATGAAGGTATCCATTGGAACATCACATGTTCCGCTCCAAAGTAATGAAGGTATCCATTGGAACATCACATGTTCCTCTCCAAAGTAATGAAGGTATCCATAGGAACATAACATGTTCCGCTCCAAAGTAATGTTCCGCTCCAAAGTAATAAAGGTATCCATAGGAACATCACACGTTCCGCTCAAAAGTAATGAAGGTATCCATAGGAACATCACATGTTCCGCTCCAAAGTAATGAAGGTATCCATTGGAACATCACATGTTCCTCTCCAAAGTAATGAAGGTATCCATAGGAACATCACATGTTCCGCTCCAAAGTAATGAAGGTATCAATTGGAACATCACATGATTCGCTCCAAAGTAATGAAGGTATCCATAGGAACATCACATGTTCCTCTCCAAAGTAATAAGGGTATCCATTGGAACATCACATGTTCCTCTCCAAAGTAATAAAGGTATCCATAGGAACATCACATGTTCCTCTCCAAAGTAATGAAGGTATCCATAGGAACATCACATGTTCCTCTCCAAAGTAATCAAGGTATCCATAGAAACATCACATGTTCCTCTCCAAAGTAATAAAGGTATCCATAGGAACATCACATGTTCCTCTCCAAAGTAATGAAGGTATCCATAGGAACAATACATGTTCCTCTCCAAAGTAATGAAGGTATCCATAGGAACATCACATGTTCCTCTCCAAAGTAATGAAGGTATCCATAGGAACATCACATGTTCCTCTCCAAAGTAATAAAGGTATCCATAGGAACATCACATGTTCCTCTCCAAAGTAATAAAGGTATCCATAAGAACATCACATGTTCCTCTCCAAAGTAATGAAGGTATCCATAGGAACATCACATGTTCCTCTCCAAAGTAATAAAGGTATCCATAGGAACATCCTATGTGTCTTACCAATGTAAATAAGGTATCCATAGGAACATGGGAGCCTCGGTGGCCAAGTGGTCTAAGTAGCCAGTCAACACTGAGGTTGTGAATTCAAACCCCGCTCGTGCGGTTGCACATGACTCCAATCTTAATTGACTTAGGGTTGTCAGTTTTCCTATTGAAGGTCAGTGGTTTTCTCCAGGCACTCTGGCTTCCTCCACCAATACAAACTGGCCGCCATGAGATAGCCAAAGTAGTGCTTAAAAGTGGCGTTAAAACACCAAAAAATCAAATTCAAATCCATAGGTGCACTGCATGCTCCAAATTTACTGGTATCTGATATCCATTGGAATCCAAATTTAGTTGTTCAGTTTGTATTGATGACAGAATTGGCTTTACAATGAACTTTGAACTCAAAGAAATGGATACACATGTTTCAGAAAAGTAAGTTTGGTACCTATATCTCTTTTCACACTTTTGTTGTTTTTAAATAATTTGTAAATTTTATTGTAAATGTAACATACTTAAGTTGTCAAATTTTTGTGTAAAAAGGGGAATGACCATTTCAAAACTGTTTTTCAATATTTTTGTTAAAGATTTTCAGAAGGAAACAGAAAAATTATTTATAAAAATGTGGATAGTGTCAAATGTGTATATAGTTTTAAGAAAAATAGAAAAAAAACAAAAAAAAGCATGGGTGATGGTTTTTAATGATTTTAAGAAAAATAGAAAAAAAAAAAAAAAAAAATATGCATGGGTGATGGTTTTTGTCGAGCCTGCGACTTTTGTCGCAGAAAGCTCGACATAGGGATAGCGATCCGGCGGCGGCGGCGGCTACGGCGGCGGCGGCGGCGTTAGCTAACTTCTTAAAAGCTTTATATTTTAGAAGATGGAAGACCTGGATGCTTCATACTTTGTATATGGATGCCTCATGTTACGAAGTTTCCGTCAGTCACATGTCCAATGTCCTTGACCTCATTTTCATGGTTCAGTGACTACTTGAAAAAAAAGTTCAGATTTTTTGTAATGTTAAATTCTCTCTTATTATAAGTAATAGGATAACTATATTTGGTATGTGCGTACCTTGCAAGGTCCTCATGCCCGTCAGACAGTTTTCACTTGACCTCGACCTCATTTCATGGATCAGTGAACAAGGTTAAGTTTTGGTGGTCAAGTCCATATCTCAGATACTATAAGCAATAGGTCTAGTATATTCGGTGTATGGAAGGACTGTAAGGTGTACATGTCCAACTGGCAGGTGTCATCTGACCTTGACCTCATTTTCATGGTTCAGTGGTTACAGTTAAGTTTTTGTGTTTTGGTCTGTTTTTCTTATACTGTATGCAATAGGTCTACTATATTTGGTGTATGGAATGATTGTAAGGTGTACATGTCTAGCTGGCAGGTGTCATCTGACCTTGACCTCATTTTCATGGTTCAGTGGTCAAAGTTAAGTTTTTGAGTTTTGGTCTTTTTTTCTAATACTGCATGCAATAGGTCAGCTATATTTGGTGTATGGAATGATTGTAAGGTGTACATGTCTAGCTGGCAGGTGTCATCTTACCTTGACCTCATTTTCATGGTTCAGTGGTCAAAGTTAAGTTTTTGAGTTTTGGTCTTTTTTTCTAATACTATATGCAATAGTTCAACTATATTTGGTGTATGGAAATATTTTATGATCTATATGTCAGTCACGCAGGTTTTATTTGACCTTGACCTCATTTTCAAGGTTCATTGCTCAGTGTTAAGTTTTTGTGTTTTCGTCTGTTTTTCTTAAACTATAAGCAATAGGTCAACTATATTTGTTGTATGGAAGAATTGTTAGCTGTACTTGCCTAACTAGCATGGTTCATCTGACCTTGACCTCATTTTCATGGTTCATTGGTCAATGTTTAGTTTACTTGGTTAATGTTAAGTTTATGTGACAGTTGTAATAAAGCTTTATATTTAGGACTATCAACATAATATCAATGATTAGTAAAGAAGGCGAGACATTTCAGCGTGTGCACTCTTGTTAATGATTTTAAGAAAAATAGAAAAAAAAAAAAAAAAAAAAATATGCATGGGTGATGGTTTTTAATGATTTTAAGAAAAATAGTAAAAAAGAAAAAAGAAAAAAAAAAAAAAATGCATGGGTGATGGTTTTTAATGATTTTAAGAAAAATAGAAAAAAAAAAAAAAAAAAATATATGCATGGGTGATGGTTTTTAATGATTTTAAGAAAAATAGTAAAAAAAAAAAAAAAGAAAAAAAAAAAAATATGCATGGGTGATGGTTTTTAATGATTTTAAGAAAAATAGAAAAAAAAAAAAAAAAAAAAAAATATGCATGGGTGATGACGGTTTTTAATGTTTTTAAGAAAAAAAGAAAAAAAATCTTTGGGGTTTAATTATATCGTGATGCAGAAATGGGTCCATTATTTTATCTTGAATTTGGGATTAAATTATATCATGATATGGAATGGATACATTCTTTTAACTTGAATTTGGGATTTAATTATATCATGATACGGAATGGATACATTCTTTTAACTGGAATTTGGGGGATTTAATAATATCATGATACAGAATGGATACATTCTTTTAACTTGAATTTGGGATTTAATTATATCATGATACGGAATGGATACATTCTTTTAACTTGAATTTGGGATTTAATTATATCATGATACGGAATGGATACATTCTTTTAATTTGAATTTGGGGGATTTAATCATATCATGAAACAGAATGGATACATTCTTTTAACTTGAATTTGGGATTTAATTATATCATGATACGGAATGGATACATTCTTTTAACTTGAATTTGGGATTTAATTATATCATGATACGGAATGGATACATCTTTTAACTGGAATTTGGGGGATTTAATAATATCATGATACAGAATGGATACATTCTTTTAACTGGAATTTGGGATTTAATTTTATCATGATACGGAATGGATACATTCTTTTAATTTGAATTTGGGGGATTTAATCATATCATGGAACAGAATGGATACATTCTTTTTACTTGAATTTGGGATTTAATTATATCATGATACGGAATGGATACATTCTTTTTACTTGAATTTGGGATTTAATTATATCATGATACGGAATGGATACATTCTTTTAACTTGAATTTGGGATTTAATTATACAATGTATCATGATACGGAATGGATACATTCTTTTAATTTGAATTTGGGGGATTTAATCATATCATGAAACAGAATGGATACTTTCTTTTTACTTGAATTTGGGATTTAATTATATCATGATACGGAATGGATACATTCTTTTAACTTGAATTTGGGATTTAATTATATCATGATACGGAATGAATACATTCTTTTAACTTGAATTTGGGATTTAATTATATCATGATACGGAATGGATACATTCTTTTAATTTGAATTTGGGGGATTTAATCATATCATGAAACAGAATGGATACATTCTTTTTACTTGAATTTGGGATTTAATTATATCATGATACGGAATGGATACATTCTTTTAATTTGAATTTGGGGGATTTAATCATATCATGAATCAGAATGGATACATTTTTTTTACTTGAATTTGGGATTTAATTATATCATGATACGGAATGGATACATTCTTTTAATTTGAATTTGGGGGATTTAATCATATCATGAAACAGAATGGATACATTCTTTTTACTTGAATTTGGGATTTAATTATATCATGATACGGAATGGATACATTCTTTTAATTTGAATTTGGGGGATTTAATCATATCATGAAACAGAATGGATACATTCTTTTTACTTGAATTTGGGATTTAATTATATCATGATACAGAATGGATACATTCTTTAAACTGAATTTGGGATTTAATAATATCATGATACGGAATGGATACATTCTTTTAACAGGAATTTGGGGGATTTAATAATATCATGATACAGAATGGATACATTTTTTTAACTTGAATTTGGGATTTAATTATATCATGATACAGAATGGATACATTTTTTTAATTTGAATTTCGGATTTAATTATATCATGATACAGAATGGATACATTCTTTTAACTTTAATTTGGGATTTAATTATATCATGATACGGAATGGATACATTCTTTAAACTGGAATTTGGGGGATTTAATAATATCATGATACAGAATGGATACATTCTTTTAACTTGAATTTGGGATTTAATTATATCATGATACGGAATGGATACATTCTTTAAACTGGAATTTGGGGGATTTAATAATATCATGATACAGAATGGATACATTCTTTTAACTTGAATTTGGGATTTAATTATATCATGATACAGAATGGATACATTCTTTTAACTTTAATTTGGGATTTAATTATATCATGATACGGAATGGATACATTCTTTAAACTGGAATTTGGGGGATTTGATCATGAAACAGAATGGATGCATTCTTTTTACTTGAATTTGGGATTTAATTATATCATGATACGGAATGGATACATTCTTTTAATTTGAATTTGGGGGATTTAATCATATCATGAAACAGAATGGATACATTCTTTTTACTTGAATTTGGGATTTAATTATATCATGATACGGAATGGATACATTCTTTTAACTTGAATTTGGGATTTAACTATATGATGATATGGAATGGATACATTCTTTTAACTGGAATTTGGGGGATTTAATAATATCATGATACAGAATGGATACATTCTTTTAACTTGAATTTAGGATTTAATCATATCATGATACGGAATGGATACATTCTTTTTACTTGAATTTGGGATTTAATTATATCATGATAAGGAATGGATACATTCTTTTAATTTGAATTTGGTGGATTTAATCATATGAAACAGAATGGATACATTCTTTTTACTTGAATTTCGGATTTAATTATATCATGATAAGGAATGGATACATTCTTTTAATTTGAATTTGGTGGATTTAATCATATGAAACAGAATGGATACATTCTTTTTACTTGAATTTCGGATTTAATTATATCATGATACAGAATGGATACATTCTTTTAATTTGAATTTGGGGGATTTAATCATATCATGAAACAGAATGGATACATTCTTTTTACTTGAATTTGGGATTTAATTATATCATGATATGGAATGGATACATTCTTTAAACTGAATTTGGGATTTAATAATATCATGATACGGAATGGATACATTCTTTTAACTGGAATTTGGGGGATTAAAATAAACCCTTTAAAAAAGTGGGGGTATACTGTTTTACCTCTGTCTGTCTGTCCATCATTCAGTCTGTCAGCATCAACAATACAAGGATTTCTGAAATTTGGTTCAGTGTTGATAAAATGCAGCTATACTGTGTGATGCATTTTCAGATTCATCACTCAACAACTTCCTGTTAACCAAACACTTGTATCATTTACACATGATAGCTAAGGTGGAAATTTTCGTCACCTTTTTATCAGGAACTTCAATACAAGGATTTCTGAAATTTGGTTTCAGGGCTGATAAAAGTCAGCTATACTGTGTGAGGCGTTTTTGGATTCGCAACTCGACAACTTCCTGCGTACTGAAGTATATGTTGGGGTATCCTCAGTGGGCAGTAGCTCACAGTTTCACTTGTTTTACCATGATACGGAATGGATACATTCTTTTAACTTGAATTTTGGATTTAATTATATCATGATACGGAATGGATACATTCTTTTAACTGGAATTTGGAGGATTTAATTATATCATGATACGGAATGGACACATTCTTTTAACTGGAATTTTGGATTTAATTATATCATGAAACGGAATGGATACATTCTTTTAACTGGAATTAAATATAATTAAGAGTATACATTTTTATTTCTGAGGATTGTTTTGATATATGTAAGTGAACAGCAACCAACAACACAAACAAAAAAACGTCAAAAGATTAGTTAATACATTTTAAATAAAGATAAATAATGTTAATACCTTTTGTCCTTCATTTGGAAATTTCAGGATAAAATAATATGGATATTTATAAATGAAAAGGAATAATGATATATTCCCTTTAAATTTTAATAAAACCATAATTCATGTCTGATGTTAAAGATAAAGTTGAAAAATGGTGAAATAATTTTTCAAATTTTCAAATTTTAGATCAAATTGCCCTTAAAAATCAGACGTAGAACATATATGTATCAGCTATTCCTAAACCATTTTACAGATTTTTAAAGGAATTTTCAGAACAGAACATTTAAGATACCAATTTCGTAATGCAAGGTTTATCAGTATAATTTTGGGAATTTCCCAAAGTAAAGGATGTTAGTCTGAGAAAGATCTCCAACCCTTCCGGATACATTATTCTGACTCAGAGTCAACTAGACTTTGCTCTTACTTTTAAATACTACTTAAGGGAGAAGCAGCAAATACCCCTTTTAAAGTCTTTGGTTGGTCCATACATGGAATAGAGCCCTTTACCTCCAACACATCAGGCAAGCATAGGACCATTGAGGAGGTTATAATTGGTAGTGAAAAGTATTCTTTTTAAAATATTCATATTCATTTTATTTTTGTTTATTTGAAAATGAACTGTTACTCATTCTGTTGTTCAATTCCTAGTAGTAACAGAAAACACACATTTTTATATTTGGTTTAAAAATATTTAATTGAAAAGTATGTCTCCATGCAAAATTATCCATCCCTCTACAGGTTGTATCTTAATATAAAAAACATCTTATTCTTAAAGTATCAACACTAACCATTACTAACAATTGGTACTTAATTAAATAGGTTGGAAGGATGGAAGACGAGAGGGAGAGGGGAGGGGATAGGGGAGAGAGAATAGAGACTGATGGAGTGAGTTTTCAGATAAGGGTTTAAGGTACTAGTCTTGTAGAGGGATAGGTTTTTAATATCTTCTTTTAGAAAGAGAACTTCTTGTTAACAATATGAATATGAGTAGGAATACAAACCAATTTTTATTTTTGGTATGCAAATTCAGTCTGAAAGTCTTTGGTTTAAAATAATGGGTCTATTACATTTCAAAATTATTTCCAAGTCTGTAAAATTTTTGTGACCCCAGTGGCCGATCCAGGGGTTGGAGTTGGAACCCCCCTTTTTTTTTAATGATAATGCATTTGAATGGGGACATATATTTAAAACCCGCACTTTCTCCCCCTTTTTTTAAAGATTGCTGGTTCCGCCCCTGAACCCTTTCTCCCTTCCTATTTGGTAAAGACATATAAGATTGTGTCCATAGTACACGGATGCCCCATCAGCACTATCATTTTCTATGTTCAGTGGACTTTGAAAATGGAGGAAAAAACTCTAATTTGGTATTAAAATTAGAAAGATGATATCATAGGGAACGTGTACAAAGTTTCAAGTTGATTGGACTTCATCAAAAACTACCTCATCCAAAAATTTTTACCTGAAGCAGGACGAACGAACGGAGGCACAGACCAGAAAACATAATGCCCATAAATGAGGCATAATAAATGTTTGCATTGGAAAACTCCCTTAATAATTTGTATAACAACAGCCAGTCTAGCCTGTCATAATTCAGTAACTACAAGCTATTTATCTATTCTGGAAAGATATGACTGTTTCAACGCCACTTGTAGTACTCCTGGCTATTACAAGGCTGCCAGTTTTTATTGGTGGAAGCCATATAAATGGCACCTGAAAAAACACCGACCTTCAGTGTCTTTTAATGTTGTCCAAAGTTTCTGTTGAAATGTTTGTACTGGTTTGAGGTATTGCTGTTTAAAAGTGTAGATGTCTGAATAAACAAAAAACATCCTTTATCATGTTTTAGATTAAAAAGTAATAATATCCAAATTTCCAATTTAGTTTCAGCACAAACGTTAAAGATAATTGTTGCAGAAGCCCTTTTTATTTAAAGGAAACAATATAAGATTTTAAATTTTGAATCTTCCAAAATAAATCTTTGCAGTTTTGTAAAGTGGTACATTGTTAAATTTATAATTAAAAAAACAAATCTTTTCTAATAATAAGGGACATAACTCTCCAATGGTAAAAAAATACTAAACCCATCAAAATAATGTAAATGCTTAAAGCAGCTTTCAGATTTGTTAGTTTGTAAATACAAAATTAGCCTCCTCCTGGCCAAATGAAACTTAATTAACTTTGTGATAGAATTTTCCATGCCAAAAACTCTTTTATTGGATAAAAAATATGAAGTAAAAACAGTGACCTTTATAATCTTAAGCTTTTTTGGTACGTGAAAAAAAATTATCAGATACTTATTATTTGGCCACAACATTTAATAATTTTTTAGACACCTATTATCACAGAATATAATTTTTGCCATCTTAATTATATTGTTAAGTGTGTTGTTGGCATGCTGTCTCATTGAAATATACCTCAGATCCTCTTTTATCTTATTCAAGATTTTCAGAAAAGCAATTTAAAAATCTGTTAAAGGTTTATTCTCTAAATAAATAGAATAATTGGTCCAGTGATCAATGGAGAATGTAAACGAGATGTGGTAAAAATGCCAATGAGATGTGTTAATACAACTAATGAGATGCGCTTAGAATGCAAATGAAATGTGGTAAAAATGCCAATGAGATAAAGCTAAAGATATGTTGTAATAATGCTAATGAGATGTGGTAATAAATCTAATGAGATGTGGTAATAAAGCTAATGAGATGTGTTAATACAACTAATGAGATGCACTAAGAATGCAAATGAAATGTGGTAAAAATGCCACTGAGATGTGGTTATAAAGCTAAAGATATGTTGTAATAATGCTAATGAGATGTGGTAATAAAGCTAATGAGATGTGGTAATAAAGCCGATGAGATGCGCTAAGAATGCAAATGAGATGTGCTAAGAATGCAAATGAGATGTGGTAATAGAGCTAATGAGATGCGCTAAGAATGCAAATGAGATGTGGTTATAAAGCTAAAGATATGTTGTAATAATGCTAATGAGATGTGGTAATAAAGCCGATGAGATGCGCTAAGAATGCAAATGAGATGTGGCTATAAAGCTGATGAGATGTGGTAATAAAGCTAATGAGATGCGCTAAGAATGCAAATGAGATGTGGTTATAAAGCTAAAGATATGTGGTAATAATGCTAATGAGATGTGGTAATAAAGCTAATGAGATTTGGTTATGAAGCTGATGAGATGCGCTAAGAATGCAAATGAGATGTGGTAATAGAGCTAATGATATGTGCTAAGAAAGCTAATGAGATGTGGTAATAAAGCTAATGAGATGTGGTAGTAAAGCTAATGAGATGTGGTAATAATGCTAATGAGATGTGGTTATAAAGCTAAAGATATGTTGTAATAATGCTAATGAGATGTGGTAATAAAGCTAATGAGATGTGGTTATAAAGCTAATGAGATGTGGTTATAAAGCTGATGAGATGCGCTAAGAATGCAAATGAGATGTGGTAATGGGGCTAATGAGATGCTCTAAGAATGCAAATTAGATGTTGTAATAGAGCTAATGATATGTGCTAAGAAAGCTAATGAGATGTGGTAATAAAGCTAATGAGATGTGGTAATAAAGCTAATGAGATGTGGTAATAATGCTAATGAGATGCGCTAAGAATACTAATGAGATGTGGTAATAATGCCAATGAGATGTGGTTAGAATTCCAATGAGATGTGGTTAGAATGCCAATGAGATTTAGTAAGAATGCCAATGAGAACTATCCACCAGAGATTGAGCCACAAGGCTGCAAGAACTATCTTTCTTTCATGTGAATTTTGTGTATACTTTGTAAGCTCCCCTATAGCTGATAGTTAACATTTTCATCAAATTATGATTTAAATTATCCTTTCTTTAAATAAAATTATTTGGTTATTAAACTTTTTTAAATAAACATTGAAAAAGCTTCTAAATTTTCTGAAAAAATTACATTAAATAGGCACTTTTGAATTTTTTGCCTATTTAAAAAAAAATATACCAGTAATGGCACAAGGATAGAAGATGTGTGGAATCAAATAGGTAACAACTATAGTGATGATGAAATATTCTAATAATAACCAGTTTTTTAATGTCTTGACTTAATGGACTTATTGTATGATGATATATGCGACCAGTTAGAATAGTGGACAATGAAATATTCAAACATGGAACTGACTGAAGTTAATAGACTTAAAATTCAAAATTGAAACCAGCAAGTGAATTATTTACAACGGCCTTGGAACCAGCAAGTGAATTATTGACATTTATTTTGATGTGACCAGTATTCATGTGGATGGACAGTACTAGTGGACTATAAACTGATAAATCTCACAGAAAGGCACATCACAACTGAGTCTGAAGCTGTTACATACAAAAGACAAGGTAATTATACTAAAAAAAAATATGGCAACATTACTCTGATTACATGTTGCAATTAACCTTATAGCTCTTATTTTATTTTTGGTGTGTTAATTCACTGTGTTTTCAGAAAAGCTATCAAGATAAATGCATAAAGCCAAAGGTCTTCATTAAGATATTCTGATAAAGTGTACAACCAAATTTTTTTGCACCGGTAGTTTTTGCATTGGAGCAATAAAAAAAAAATTCATCCAGAAAATAGATTTAGTAATACAAACCCTACCACAATGAAGGATATATACACTTACTTGCTCTGAATAGAAAATAAAGGGATAAGCAGCTTTGACTCCACTGGTAGCGACTGTTGTGAAAAACTACTCATTACAAGTCAAAAATTGACTTGTAACATTAAAATCATGCATAACCTTAAAAGAAATAAAAATCTGAAACAGTACTTTAAGTTTGCACAGCCCAGTAAAGTACTTAGTGGAAAATTGTCCTACTTTGACTTATAATTAAAATTCCATATAAGCATTTTTAAGGATGTACTTAGGTGATACAAGGTAAAAATTAATAAATCAAGCATTTAAAATTGATACTTTAAGCTGAAAGAGTATTAGTTAAGGATCAAAATAAACTAAAAATATTGATAGGTCATGCAGCTCCTTTTCGAGATATTTGATTTATAAAATATGGCAGGAAAAGGCTGGCTCAGACTTTTACCTTATATTTGCATTGGTATAATTTGGGTCTCAAATCAAAAGATAAAAAATCAAGAATCTGCTTTAATTTTGTTAAATGACCTTTTATGAGCAATTAAGTCTTATATGAAAAAATAAATGGGTGTTATGGGGCAAAATATTTTACCTTGTATCGTATCGAAAAACACCAAGGAGTCCGAACATTTAACACAAATTCCAAAACCTCACCTAAGTACATCCTTAAGGATATGACTGTACATGATTTTTTCTTCTTCAGATATCCAGGAAATAAGAATTGTATGTGATCTATTTAAAGATCTTAGGACAGTAGGACCTGGAAGTACTATATTACCAACTTCAAGGTAAGTTTACAGTAAAAACAACTGCAATTATACAATGGAAACTTGATTATCATCATACCTTTTTTATCCATAATACTGTTAATATAAAAAAAGAGAGATGTGGTATGATTGCCAATGAGACAACTCTCCACAAGAGACCAAAATGAGACAGAAATTAACAACTATAGGTCACCTTACATCCTTCAACAATGAGCAAAGCCCTGAGCCCCACAGTCTTGACCAAAATATTTGAAAGTTTGAAATTTTGATAAGAAACATTGATACTAGCAAGTTTAAATACTCTCGTTTCTCAGTTATATGTTATGTTTAATGCTTATAAATGTGATGCAAAAATTATAATGGCATGGTAACTTTCCTTTAAGGTGGTATGGGAGAGTCTAAATTAAAAATGATAGAATTTGTTCATACTTTGCCAAAGCGTAGTAAATATTAAAATATGTTCAAAAATATTATAAAAACGTATGGTCACAGCACATTTGTTCAAGCTACAGGTTGTTACAAAATGACATATTGTGTATGGATTATACAGGAAAAAACATCATTATGTGATTAGAATCTAAACTAAATAATAGAATTGTAAAATAGAATACGAAAAGTTAGCTTTTAGAAAATGCTTTGAGAATATCAAAAGAAAAGATAGGGTCACAGTGCATTTTATCTGGCTAAAATTCAAAATAGCAAAATTCCAAGTAGATTCCTTCAGAAAATGCACTATTTCAGAGTTACTTCACTTAAAATGCCAATTTGAAATTATTAAAATTCAAGCAGAAATAATCTTGTAAAAATATTAATATTTATGAGTTATAATCTTATAAATTTGTTCTTTGAAATGCAAATTCACATAAGTTATCTACATTTCTGCATCTAATTTTGCTAACTTGATTGAAAATCTGGACCTTAGATTCTCTGTTTTTTACAATCCAAGATGGCGAAAGACAACCATACCACCTTAAGCATGTTCAAAATATGCATGATATATTGATCACTGGACATTAAGCATGCAACAATCAATCAATCAATCCTATATGTATATATGGTATGAATCACTTCTGACATATCAAGAATTAAAAATGTTATTCAATCAATTTAATTGCCATGTTTTAATTGACATTTTGTTGTTTCTTTGTAGATTAACTGAGCTTGAGAAATTACAAATCAACTGATACAGAAGAAGAGACTTTGCCATGTGGATGAACTTGGAAACAATTATTGACAAACAATAAAGTGTATTGGTATTCTTGTAAAAATCAATAGAGAGAGAGAGAGAGAGAGAGGAAGGATAGGAGAGAGTCAGTTGTAAAGATTTATGTCTTTTTAACCAGACATGTCGATTACATTAGAATTTCAGAGGCCTACAGTTCTCCCTTAAATGGTCATAGTTAATACATGAAGTAGTTAAAGTAGAGGACTTTAGTGTGACCAGTGAAAACAATCAGGCAGCTGCCATTGGTTTAAATCTCTTTTTTCGAAGATGTTTTGGTTACATTAGAATAAATCTGTAGGAATGACAAAAAAAATGTAAAAAAAGTAATTTGTGGTATTTTGTACAGTTTCATTATGCAATCTTGAATACATTTATGATTACTATTTATAAAGAAGTATTATCATTAGAATGAGGATGGAAAATGTTTAAACATTTATTTGAGACAGAGTTTTGCATTATTTCATTAAAATTATTAAATTCTTTTTGTGTGAATGAAGGACAAACAGGGAAAACAGAAGCTATTCTATGAATTTCAAATTGTATTTATTTACATTTGATTGATTAGTTGAAGATTAACTACAAGTATTCAGCATAGTACAAAATTAAGGATGCACTGCAAGTGTATATTATCTTTATAGTTATCATCACACTATGTCCAATCTAGATGTACAACACTCTTTTTTATAGTGTTCTGTAAATTATCAGGAACACCAGTTGTGATGAATGGGAAGACTGGCAGGCTGAGAAATGGGTATAAGGGGAGGGAATACCCCTGCTTATCTTTTCATACTGGTTAGTTCCTTTGGTAAAGGTTTTGTACAAATGTTGTTCATATCAGATGTATACGATTTGAAGAGAGTTGTTATTTGGAGCTCTGTAAAAAAAAAAAAAAGAAAGAAAAAAAAAGAAAAAAAAAAAAGAATTGTAATCAGAGTTCTAGATAATAACTGGGTGGTATGAAATGTGGGTTAAATATTTTCGGTATATTTACAATGATTTTTTTTTTTTTATGCATCTGATATTTTTTGTATATAAAATGTTTTGTTATTTTTTACAGAATTGCTTTAGTTGCCTTCCTGACTAACATTTATTGGTGAATGGAGAGACTAGCAGGCTGAGATTGAGGCGTAAGGGGAGGGATTACCCCTGCTTTTCTCTTCATACTTGTAAATTCTGTCACTGCACGGAAGGTCAACAATTAAGAATATATAAGTTATCATTTTTTTATGTATCAATGTAAGTTAGATAAGTTATATCAGATGTATATAAAGTAAGATGAAAGTATTCTTTAGAGCTCTGTAAAAAAAAAAAGCTTGTAAACAGAGGTCTAGATAATGCATTAAGGGGTTTGGTTTGGCATGGGGATTTCAAATTTTATTTACAAGTCGTCATCTACAAAAATGCATCTGATATTATTTGCCCCAAGCCCAATTTCGTGTCCCAAATATAATGACTACAGAATAATGGTGACAGCTTGGTCAACACCCTTATTTTAAGTTTGATTCACCCCTCCTTTCGTTGCCCACCCCACCCCACCCCCACCCTTTTAATAAGTAGTTATAGGTTAAGGTTTCTTATTGGGATTAATGATTGGATTGATTGATTTTAATTACGTGTCACAGAATTATTAAGATACTAATTTCTGTGTAACAAGATTAATCTCCAATATTTGAAGGTGTTTTTGATCAAGTTTTATTAAACTCAAAATGTTTAGTATTTCATCAGCTCTGTCGAATACAAAATAGAAATTTACCCCTATAGATATATCTGCATTTTATATGCTACGAAATTTTGCCTGTTTTACAAAGATTTATCTAACAAAATGAAAAACCCTGTCCATGAAATTGATTTAATTGAACTTTCACAATGTTGATAATAACCCTGTTTGTTCATGACAATTTTACATGTGGTAGTCTCGATGTAATATATAGTTCTTCCACTAACAACCCTGTTTGTTCATGACAATTGTACTCTTGAAATATCTGTTACAATTACACACCCATGCTTTTTCCCTATAGGGTTTTTTAATGCAGGGTGCATGTTTTTCTATGTTACCATATGTTTGTCTCTCTTTTTAATAAAGAACAATTACATAGAAATGTTTCTGTTTGTTGAAAAATTGAAAGGTCCTTATTTAGTTTCCTCTTCAAAGGTATGAGTTTGTTACAAATATCTTGACCCTAGGATAATTCATCAATTTTGATGACCGACTATGTCCTTGAGGCTAGGTCAGACATAAAAACTGGTATTTGCAGCTTCAATGCCAAGGACACAATCCATTTAGAAGAAGTACTTGTCTGTCATATTTGTTTTTCATAAATTATTTGGTTATAAATTAGTCTGTTAATTCTTGTTTGAATCATCTCCCCTTGTTTTGTCCTAGGGATTATATAGAAAACTTCCTGGTATACAGTATTGATTTTGCTCATTGTTGAAGGCTGTACAGCAACATTTAGCTGCTTATAATTAGCCTCATTTGAACTTTAGAGCACCTATAGACTAGTTGTCTCATCAGCAATCATACCACATCTTATTTTATAGACTGGTTGGCTGGAGTCTGAATATTAATTAAGGGTATGTTGATCTAGTTTGAGGTTAAAATGTCGAAAGCCACAGATCAAAAATGGAAGTGAAAGGTTTTTTGGGGAACTTCAAGGAATTATGCTGCAATTTAATCTGTATTTGGATTCATTGGCTAGTGGTAGTACGTTAGAGAACCACAACCTTCGACAGGAAAACTGACAATTATAGTCCATTAAGTTGAGTCAAGTGCACTTGTCACATGCAGGGTTCGAACTTACAACCTCTGCGTTGAAAGGCTAGTGATACAGTAGTTTTAACTACGACAACAACGCCACCAAGGCCTCACCTAAATTTGGATATATGTTATTTAAGGAGAAAGATCCTATCAAATATGATGTCAAGTTCAAGGTCACATATACGAAAACAAACTAAAAGCAGTGCAGAAGCAGTGTTTCGCACATAGAACCTTGCTAGGAAGTAAACTTAGATATGGTAAATCAATACATGGAAGACCCCAAATCATTTGTTAGTCCACATATAAAGGGTAATTCATTTCAGGACGGTACCTTTGGAACATTTCACAACAATTGAGACTATTTTTGTGGTATGATTTCAACAATAGTTTACGTATTATATAAAATGCTATTCCGAATTATTCCATATGTCAAAAAAAAAACATGAATGATTCCCAATTATTGGAGAGCCAACACATGAAACATCTATGCTTAGATTACATGTATAAGTTTGCTAATAAGTCAATTCAAGGAGAACCACAATTGGTAGGTCAGTGGTATTTGATATGCAGTTGTATTAGCATTAGCACATATCAAGTTCATCGAGATTATTTGGCCCTGCCCCTTCAGTCATGGTCTATTGACTTAGAAACTTGAGCTGAATTTACATGTTTTGTGATTGTCTGCAAGGTGATCCATCTCATTTCCATGGCTTTTTTTTGGCCCAGCCCCCTCAGTCCTTTAAATTGCATAGTTTACATTTTGAAGTTGTGATTAGATCAATTTATGATTACTGTAAATTCAGAAACTATTGTGTGCATTTATTATTGAGATTTTGTCAGTTTAGACTTAAATGCGATTTTAATTTTTACGAATTTGAGAAAAATCCTATTTAATTCATATAAAATATTTCAAAATGCGAGATTAAATTATTGGGTTTACAACTTTTTCGCAATAATAAAAACCTCGCAATAATTTCTGACTTTACAGTAACCAACAACACTAAGTCAATGATATTTAGTATGCAATTGTAATAGCATTCCCTCTTATATGGCCCTGCCACCCATAGTTTATTGACTTGGAAACTTTTGCATTGTTTAGATGTTAAAGTTTGTGTTTGTCAGTTTAAAGGGAACTTACATATGAGAAGTCAATGGTATTTGGTATGCAGTTGTATTGGCATTTACAATTTTCAAAGAGGTTATTCAGCCCTGCACCTTCAGTCATGTAAAAAAAAGATGTGGTATGATTGCCAATGAGACAACTCTCCACAAGAGACCAAATGACACAGAAAATAACAGTTATAGGTCACTGTACGGCCTTCAACAATGAGCAAAGCCCATACCGCATAGTCAGCTATAAAAGGCCCTGAAAATGACAAATGTAAAACAATTCAAACAAGAAAACTAATGGCCTAATTTATGTACAAAAAATGAATGAAAGACAAATATGTAACACATCAACAAATGACAACCACTGAATTACAGGCTCCTGACTTGGGACAGGCGCATACATACAGAATATGGCAAAGTCAAACATGTTAGAGGGATCTTTTGCTTTTTCAGTATTTTACTAATAGATTAACTTAGCTTTTTGCAGTGAATATTTACACAGTATCAGTCTGAAATTATTTTTTTTTTAATAAAACTCCTTATTTTTGCTCTAAAATCTGAACATTTTTAAATGTGATGATAATTTGATGAAGGCATATGTTATAATGTCTAATTGTTTCTGTTAAAGAAGATTTTAATCGATTGCATCATAAGTGGTGTAGTTGTGATGTCGATAATGTAGGGAAGTTCATTATAAACTGATTTTTGGCATAATTTTGCAAAATTTATGACCGCATTTTGAAAAAAATTAACAGTGGCCACCTACATCAACAAATACTTATGTTAGAATATTCCTCATTTACCAAATTTTTTAGTTTTCACCATAATTTCAATAGGCGAGGGGTGGTGCCACATATAAAATCTTAAAACATGGGTTAAAAAGGTTGTAAATCTCTTGAAAAAAATATGATTTGGTGAATCAACTCATTTGTCTATCTGTCGAGATGAAGAAACCATATTATGAGTTCATTACTTTGAAGTTAATGTAGTCTGAAATTTGCCAAAAATTTTTTGACATGATTATTTAACCGGAAAATTACATTGAGCTGAATGCAGACCTGACTGAACTGTTATATTAATTTAACTCCCACTAGATAATATTCTTTGCACAGAAATAGATTTTTAATTGGGAAATGGACTTTTAAATGTTATTGTCTACCAAGTTTGAAGCAAGATGAAGGGAAGTCCTAATGAACTACTGATATGATATACATACCATTATCTTAGTCTGTCCATATCAATGATTTTGCCATATCCAAGGATTTGTATAGTAAGAAGGTTCTTTTACTATACAAATCCTTGCTATATCTATCTGCAAATGTGCACCCCACAAGTCACTGTTTTATGCGATTAATTTATTGGGTATCATAGCATAATATACAGAATGGCATTCTTAATTGCCACCAATTGTTTGTGGGAAGAATTTGTAAAATAACTTGTTACAATGTTTGCCAAAATCTACCATAATCCTTAAAACTTTTAAAACAAATAAAAACAATAAAAATAAATTAAAGAATAACACACCTTTTCCTGTGAAGAAATGTGTTTACATTAGAACAAAATATGGGGGCCAAAATGGAATCATTAATAGATTCTGTGATAAAAAAAACTCTAGAAAAGAATAGTATACAGACTAAGGTTCTTAGCGTGAGAAAAGACTTTTAAACAGTATAATTCAAATTCTAAAACAGTCATATAAATCATAACAAAGAGAGACATATGATATACTACTTTCATCCATCCATTCTCACAACTGTCATTCTGATTGGGAATGATTCATCAGGAAACCAATATAATCATAAGTCAGTTGACCTGTTATGTACAAAGAGGGATAACTCGAACATTTTTTTTAAAACATTTTAACACCACAGAGCATATAAACAGAACACATTAATTTATATAATGTATCTAACTGTTATTAGTAAAGGCTTGGGTAAAGATTTTTTTTATATATTTTACAGACTACTGCTTACATAGCGACAGACGAATATATGTAGCTGTTACTTCCATTTTAATTTGGGTATTTTTTCCAAACAAAAGGGTAACCTATTTTA